TAAAAAAAAATGGAATTTTGGGTAGTGTCTGTTTTCAACTAGGCCAATATTTCCTTTCTTTTTTCACCTACACACATATGAGTATCATCTCTTTAATGTTTCTGCATTTTGCATATATTAAATTTGTGAAAGCAGGCATTTATTAATTTTTTGTATGTATAAAGGTGGATTAAATCACAAATTATTTCATGATAGCTTATAGATATGTTCTCATTTACACATAATTTAAATTAAATATTTGTTATCTTCTATACTTTTAAAGGACAAGATAAATTACAAGTTTTTATGTTTTCTCTAAAAAAATTCTAATTTTAGTTAGGGACTTTAAAGGACTTTTACAGCTTAAAATTGTGTTCAAGATATTATTTTAACCTAGTTCCAAAAGAGTTGCTCCCTCCGTTTCAATTTATGTGCTGCTTAAATTTAAGGGGAAAGAAAAGAAGATTTTAAATATTGTGGTCTAAAATAAATTGTAAATATTTGTGTAGTTGTAATCTAATTTATAAGAGTAAAGTAAGAATTTTAAAGCTAAATTATTTCAAAAAGAGATATGATATTCTTGTTGGACTTTAAGCCATTGGGCTAAGTCATTGGGCTTTAAAGACTAGAAGTGTGAATTGGGAAATAATGAAAAATAAAATGGAGGGAAATGAAAAATTGGAAAATTTGAATCAAGTGAGCTTTGTCAAATGAACTTGTCCCTCATTGGTAAGGGACAACTACACTAGTGTGTATAAATATAGGATCACTTCTTAGAACTCTTAAAGGAGTTGAAGAGAATGAAGTCTCGCGTCGTCGTCGTCGTTCGGCTCGGCTTCGGCAATGAGATTAATTTTTTGACAAAGTTTATTTAATTTATTATCAAAACGTTGAACATTGGTTTTCCCTTTTGAACAGACACCTCTTCCTTTCAAATATCTATTCACATTATGAACAGACATCACACCTCTTCCGACAATTGCCTATAAATTCCGAGGCATGGCTTCCTTTTCTCACACTGAAAAATACATAACTTCCTTCTGAAAATCATCCTGCATTCTACTTCGCAGCTTTTCTTTTAAATTCATAAGTATGATTTTGCTCCGTTCTTTGAGTTCGTTGGTATCCTGCAGTTTGTATTGTCACTGTTGCAGGAAGGTTTATTCTGTTTCATCCTGGGAGGATTTAATCCATTACCTTGACAACTTGTGAGGGGGTTAAAATTCCTTAAGGACGCACAAGGAAATTGTGGACTCGGAATATTTCTTATAGTTTACTGTTTTTCCTGTTTCTTCTAACAGCTTTTCTAATTTCTATTTTAACACAGTAGCGACAACAATTCTTTTCCTCCAAGGTTCCGAATATAGAGCACCTAAAGTACTTCCTTTATTCTATTTTAGCTATCCTTTTAGTCCTTTCTATGCCATTAAGAAAATAATGAATATAAAATATACTTTATTCTAAAGAGATATTTTTTGAAAACAGAGCAATATTAAAAAGAATTACTAGTTTTTTGATAACAAGAATAATTAAACAAATTAGTTTTAAATTCTTAAGTGACAAGTATTTTGACACATAATTTTCTGAGCTAAAGCGAAGTACTACTTATCTCATAGTTGGTACAGTACCTAGTCTAAGGTACCCCTGCAAAAATAGTTTCTCCAATTTGCCGTTACTCCTACTCCCCCTATAGTTAACGGCGTTAGTTTGTCAACCTTTTTATCCGTTTTTAACTTTTCGAGTAAGAACTTTTTCTGTGTCAGGTGAGTGGAGCGGAAATCTTCACAGTGTGGTCCAATCTGTTAAATTGTTTGTTTGTATAATGTATAGTCAGGTGTATGTTTTCGAATGTGTGACGCATTGAGGAAGAGGCAAACAAAAAATGGAATTTTGTATGTTTAATATTTGTTTAATGTTTAAAAAGTGACATTTTAAAAGAGCCCAAGCACGTTATTTAAACCATTTTCGTGCAACCCACGTCTATGTAAACCAGACTATGTTACATGAAGAACTCACATTTCAGTGTTGCAATACATAATCTTCCTTTATAATTCATATTTTTTTAAAATATCCCAACAATGATGGATGAAAGACGGATTAGATATATTGGGGCAGTGAAATTGTGCTCGAGAATAACTCGATGCACTATACTCGAGAATAACTATCGCAACTATTGCGATAAGGATGATTAAGATGAACGTAAGCTCAAAAAATGTCATGATTTGGAATGAAGTTCCACCTACTCCGACTAATACTTAACCCTCTGAGGGTGTTTTGGAATTGTTTTATCATAACAAGTAACATATCAAAAAGTCTGGCCTGGCATGATCTGAACATATCTCTGTCAAATGAGCTGCCAGAATAAAACTTTTGGCGATCGAATGCATGAACAATTAAATTATGGTGGGACGATAAATTGGCAAACGTCACAGTCTGATAGGTAAAGGCTTATTCATTGTCAGTATTTTTCTTTTGTTTATCCTTTTATTGATATTGTATTTTTAATAGTGGATATTGGACCATTATTAATTTATCAACTGAAGACTTCACAACTTACGTATATATAAGGGTATAATGTTGGGACTTTCTCGAGTAGAAGGACGGATTATGCTAGTACATCCATTAGCCAATAACAAGCGCATAATCCGATGCCACATACAAATAATAACAGTAGGTTCAAATCCTGATCAAAATAAATTATATTTATAGTTATGGACTATTTATTATTTGATTACACGTGTAGGAAAATGACCAACAAGACAATCATGTTTTAACACATTTGGAAGAATAATTCACTAAGGATCGGATATCGCAGATGCACAGATCAAAGAAGATGATAGGGACTATAATAACAACGATAATGAGTCAGGCGAGAAATTATCCTTTACCAATGACGAAGATGGTTATCACGAAGAAAAACCGATATTAGTAATGGAGCATAATGCCACCACCGAGATGGCTGTGAATGCACGACCTGGTCAGACCATGTGGCTACCGGTGTACACAATGCGTTCAATATTATTCTAAGGAGATTTTCTTCCTTGATCATCTTCAAGGTTACCCCGATAATGATGTTTTCACCAAAGATATACTATAATATTCAAACAACAATGTGGGATGAAGAAAGGTTATTTGATATTCGAAAAAGGTATTCTTTTAAATAGTGCGTCAGGGAGTTGGATAAAGAGTTTTGCAAAACATGGCAACAAGACAATCATGTTTTAACACATTTGGAAGAATGATTCACTAAGGCTGTATAGGTCCAAATTCAGCAACCACGACCACTACCGAGTAGGATGAGGAACAAGGCTATCGTGATGTAGCATCTGATGGTCGTCGTGGTTAAAGGCAACGACCAAGGGCGGCCAGTTGATGCACAACGTCTATGATGGTGTAAGCTTAGTAGGGGACAACAAGGATATGCTTTTCGAATATTCTTCATGTTGTACTTTTTTAGGGTTTTATGGGGGATTGTCCCTTATAAATAGGAAGAGTCAGTAGAGAAAGGGGGAGGGAGACAAAGAGAGACAAAAGAACACTTTGTAAAAGAATTATCTGAGAGTGAATACAAAAGTAGTCTGGTTCATTGATTGCTTGCAAGAACAAGAAAGTATATATCACTACACCAGATAGAAAAGGTCCAAGGATTCCCTGATCATCTGATAGCTATTCCTTCCCTACGCCGATTGTGTCTACTCAGATTGATTGTGCATTTACGTCTTCACATTTATGAGCATTTATTCGATTCCAGCATACTAGTCACATCATTCATCTTATTTACTTCCCTCATCGCCAGATCTAGATTTTATTGTGCTTAACTAAGGTTGACCTCATCATTATCACTAGTTGATTTAATCAAAAAGGTTTTGATATTCTTTGATCAAACAATTTGGCGCCGTTTGTAGGGATTTCTTTAGTTAAGATTTTAGTTTCATCTAGATCATAAAAAGGGATAGTCACCTCTTCCTAGCTTTGCATAAACTAACAGTGGCAGGAAAAGGAGATGTAAGGTTAAAAGCAATTGTAGGAGTCACAAACAACATCCTGAACATCATCAACAAAGACGGCACGGAAGATAACGAAAATGTGACACCAAACACTACACCTAGGGGAGACAACAACATACTTGATAAACCCGCTCAAAGGGAGAATAGAGACATTGCACATGTCGATGTCGCAACATCACCGGCGAACTAGATGCCCCACGCAGAAGTAACACTCATACTACTGTTGACATAGGTAATGACGCACTCGCAGCCATCCTAAAGAAGATGGAGGAAATGGAAAATGAGAATAAGACGCTCCGTGACCAGATGAAGGAGCATCAAGAAAGGGTCGACAAAATACTAGGCGCCCCAAAGTTGTTACCAAAACGGGACGTTGGTCGATTTATCGAGCAACCATACAATGAAGAAGCATCCCCCCACGCCATTCCAAAAACTTTCAAAATGCCACCATACCTGAAGATATACGATGGTACTACAGACCCAGATGATTATATCATCCACTACGTTACAGCCGTAAAGGGCAACGATCTTTCGAAAGAACAAGTAGCGTCGGTGCTTCTGAAAAAATTCGGAGAAACCCTAACAGGGGGAGCCCTAACCTGGTACTCGCAACTACCAGCACGGTCAATAGCAACATTAGAAGAAATGACGAACAAGTTTTCACCGCTCATGCAGGAGCTAAAAAGGCGGAAGCAAGCGTAAACGACATTTTCGCCGTTAGACAGACGCCCGGCGAGGGACTCAGGGACTTCCTAGCCCGATTCAACAGGGTGAGAATGAGCCTACCAAATGTGTCAGAGGGGATGGCGGTAGCAGCCTTCCAGAACGGGTTAAATAGTAGTAGGTCGAGAGCGACTAGAAAGCTGTTAAGCAGGCTCATAAAATACCCTCCTACCACTTGAGAAGAAATCCGCAATGCCTATTGCGCCGAGGTAAGGGCCGACGAGGATGACCTCAATGGTTCGATCCAGTGGCTGACGTCAGTTCAAACTGAAGCAAGGAAAGATCACTGCAATGACGGCCGAAGGGAACAACTACCCCATCTTAGCCGAGAAAGACATCAGCCCTACATCAAAGCACCCATCCCGCTTCCTCCGCGGCACACAGATGTCCCACCTTGACATACCGCGCCACACCGAAATGAAAGAGGTATGCCTCTGCTCTTATCTGCTCACAATTTTTGTGTTTCTCCTTCATAAATAGTGTACGCACTAAAGAAGCTCGGTCCAAAGGTGCAATGGCCACAAAAGATGAAATCCGACCCGAGCACCCTGAAGTTGAATATTCTCTGCGAATTCCACTAGGAAAGGGGTCATAAAACCGAGGATTGCATAGGTTTGCGGCAAGAGGTAGTAAGAATGCTAAATCGGGGACACCTGAAAGAACTACTGAGCGACCGTGGACGAGATAACTTTGCTCGTGGACGCGAACAACCCCAAGCACCCCCAAAGCCGCCTTCTCCCACTCGTACCATACAAATGATCATTGGTGGAGGCGACGACGCAGTAGTCAACCACGTAAAGTTCACCACTATGCACAAACTCAAACGATCGATCACTCATGAACGGTATGATGACCTCGAAGATAGTATCGTCTTCGATAAATTAGATACTGACGGTTTGTCTTTCCCTCACTACGATGCTCTTGTTATCACTTTACGAATTGCAGATACTGATGTAAAAAAAATAATGGTGGATGACAGAAGCGGCACCTGTATTATCCATCCTCGACTCCTCGTACAAATGAGACTCGACGATAAAATAATATCGCGTTGTATAACACTAACGGGTTTTAATGCAGTCGAACGAACTTCTGGAGAGATAGTGCTGCCCGTCCTAGCCGGAGGAGTCACCTTGGAAACGACGTTTCACGTCATAGATCAAGATACAGCCTACAACACTATCATAGGGAGCCCATAGATACACGCCATGCGAGCAGTCCCCTCAAGTCTCTATCAAGTAATCAAGTTTCCCACTCCATGGGGGGTATTCAGCATCCGGGGCAAACAACGCACTGCATAGGAGTGCTATCGCATCGCCCAAGATTGCGCACATACCCAACAACTAAAAGGAGCAAGTGCGGAAGCATAGCAATCAGTGATGTCGGGAACCAAATTCGACGTACAGATAGACGCTATCAAGGACCCCGACATCGTAGAGGCCTTCGAGTCGACCATAGAAGACCTCAATCCCGTCCAACTGGACAACAATGACAGCACAAAAAAGGCTTATATTGGGCATAATCTCTCAGAACCAGGTAAGTTCCACAAATTCTTAACTGACAGTGCCGAATTGTTTTCCTTCTCCCATTCAGATATGCTAGGCATCCCGAAAGACATCGCCACGCACAAACTGAATGTTGACCTCCTCTACCCACCTATGCGGCAAATGAGGAGAAAGTTCAACGCCGCAATCAATGATGCAGTCAGCGAAGAAGTTGATAAGCTGCTCGCCAATGGCTCCGTCCGAGAGTCAAAGTATCCCTAGTGGGTCGCCAATATAGTTATGGTGAAGAAGAAAAATGGAAAGTGGCGGATGTGTGTCGACTTCACAGACCTAAACAAGGCATGCCCAAAATATACCTTTCTGTTCCGCACATCGACCAGCTCATCGACGCAACAGCGGGACACGAGTTGCTAAGTTTCTTAGATGCCTACTCGGGTTACAACCAGATCTTAATGGAAGAAGTGGACCAAGAGAAAACCACTTTTATCACTCACCAGGGAACGTACTGCTACAGAGTCATGACGTTCGGACTTAAGAATGCGGGGGCAACATACCAAAGGTTAGTCACCAAGATGTTCAAAAGTCAACTCGGCAAAACTATGGTGGTCTACATCGATGACATGCTAGCCAAGTCAAAAAGGAAAGAAGATTACATCGATCATCTGAAGGAAGCCTTCGACATATTAAAGCAGTACGGCATGAAACTAAACCCCGAAAAATGCGCCTTCGGTGTAACCTCAGGAAAATTCGTCGGCTTTCTGGTATCACAAAGAGGCATCGAGGTCAATCCAGATCAAATTAAGGCCATCGAAGGAATACCGGAAACATTGACCAGCAGAAAGCTGGTGCAAAAATTGACGGGTCGGATAGCCGCCCTGTCAAGGTTCATCTCACGGTCTTCAAATAGATGCCATAAATTCTTTAATGTATTAAAGAAAGATAACGGAATCCAATGGAATTCGGAATGTGTCAACGCCCTAAGAAAACTGAAAGCCTACTTGTCCTCGCCGCCATTACTCGCCAACGCAGATTAAGGAGAGTGCATCCTCGTCTACCTAGCTGTCTCCAAAGTCACGGTAAGCGCAGTGCTTGTCCGCGAAAACAAAGGTACGCAATATCCAATTTACTATATTAGCAAAACCTTAATCGATGCCGAAATAAGGTATCCCCACCTCGAAAAATTGGCTCTAGCATTAGTCATAGTTTCACGAAAGCTTAGACCATATTTTCAATGTCACCCCATAAAGGTGGTGACAACTTTTCCTCTCAGGAGCATCCTGCACAAACCTGAACTATCGGGTAGATTGGCCAAATGGGCCATAGAACTGAGCGAGCACGATATAACATATCAACCGCGAACTGCAATAAAGTCGCAAGTGCTCGCCGATTTCGTCTCTGACTTCAGTGCAGAAATATTGCCCGAGGTCAAGCAAAAAACGCTTCGTACTTCCCCTGAACGACCTGACCTCTGGGTCCTCTACACCGACGGTGCATCTAATGTGTCGGGGTCTGGACTGGGACTCGTGCTTGAAGTCCCAACAGGCGAGGTAATTTGGCAGTCCATACGTTGTCCGAAAATGACTAACAATGAGGCCGAGTACAAGGCCTTAATTGCAGGACTGAAATTAGCCCTCAAGTTGGTGCACGACGGGTCATCCTTCGCTGCAACTCTCAACTCGTTATAAATCAAGTTACTGGGACTTTCCAAGTCAAGGAGCAGAGACTGCAGAAATACCAAACAGAAATCCATAAACTACTACCGGAATTCGATGAATGCTGACTCGACCAAATACCCCGGGCACAAAACTTCGAAGCAGATGGCCTCGCCAAACTGGCGGCAGCAACCAAAAATATCACCAAGGAAAATGTGGTCACCCTCCTCGACTCATCAATAGACTAGATCGAGGTACATTCTAAATTTAACTTAGGACTGGCGCAACCGCATTATAACATATTTGCAGGAAGGAACACTCCTGCGAGATAAAAAAAAAGCAAAAAAACTCCGAATACAGGCGGTCAGGTACAGCCTCATAAATCATGATCTTTACAAAAGGACATTCAGCGGCCCTTTGGCCAAATGCCTTGGACCAAAATCAAACCAGGCGTGTTCTAGAAGAAGTACACAAGGGCCACTGCGGTGCCCATAAAGGCAACCGAGCCCCCGTCAAATGCCTTATTCGCGCAGAATACTACTGGCCCACTATGAAAAAGGAAGCCATGGATTACATCAAGAAATGTGAGAAATGCCAAAAATACGCCCCTATGATACACCAAGTGGGCGAACTCCTGCATTCCGTCACTTCACCATGGTCGTTTATAAAATGGGGAATGGATATCATTGGACCCCTCCCAGCAGGCCGAGGTAAGATACGCTTCCTTTTGGTTTTAACTGATTACTTTTCCAAATGGGTGGAAGCAGGTGCATTCATCCAAATACGCGAGCAAGAAGTCATTGCATTCATATGGAAAAACATAATATGCCACTTCGGCATCCCTAAAGAAACCAGCTGTGACAATGGACCTCAAGTCGTCGGGAAAAAGACGATCGAGTTCTTCGAAAAATGGCGCATTAAGTGGATACTCTCCACGCCATAGCACCCTGCTGGTAACGGTCAAGCCGAATCCTCCAATAAAACAATATTGAATATACTAAAGAAAAAGCTCGAGGACGCTAAAGGGCTATGGCCGGAATTGCTACTAGAGGTATTGTGGGCTTACCGCACCACGCCAAAAACCAGCACAAGCGAAATGCCATATTCATTAGCCTACGAGACCGATGTCGTTATACCCGTTGAGGTCCGGGAACCTAGCCTGAGATACTCCAATGAGAGTGGACCACACAACGACGAAAACACAATACAAGACCTGGACGAAGTGGAAGAACGAAGGGATATGACTCGCGTAACGATGGTAGCCCAAAAACAACAAGCGGAAAGGTACTACAACAAGAAGGCCAAAGTGCGACCACTCAGAGTCGGGGACTACGTCCTCATAGCCAAAACACAAGCAGCAAAAGACCCAAATGAAGGAAAATTGGGAACAAACTGGGATGGGCCATACAAAATCACAGCAGCAGCAAGCAAAAGAGCATTCCAATTAGAAACAATGGAAGGAAAACTACTACAAAATAACTGGAATGTCGCCCACCTCAAATACTTCCACTTCTGAAGAATGACGCCACCCAAGTCGCACTTTTTTCCCTCACCCGGGTTTTGTCCCAATCAAGTTTTCTCGGGAGGTTTTTAACAAGGCGACGAGGGGGATGTCTCGAAGTTCAAAGTATAATTCATCACCCAGCCTGACAATGGCATCTCCAGGCCGAGCAATGAAGAGACTAGGTACAAGGAAACTCCATTGTATGTAAAAAATCAACATGTATCTCCAACGTATGAATGAAATTACTCCACTATATGTACGGAATCGACATGTATCTCCTACGAATGAATGAAATTTACTCCAATGGATGTGCGAAATCGACGTGTATCTCCAATATATCAAAAAAATCGGCATATACCACACTCCAGCAAATAAAATAAAACATGTTACCCTCCATCATCCTCTCACAAACATGACGGGATAATACTTCGACATTAGCTCGAAAGTAACATCCCCATGGCTAAAGTCGTTACTAAAGAAAAGATTCGACAACGCTTAAACCACGATGGGATAATACTTCAACATTAGCTCAAAAGTAACATCCCTATGGCTAAGGCCATTACCAAAGAGAATAATTCGGCATCGTTCGAACCATGACGGGATAACGCTTCGACAATAGATCGAAAGTAACACCCCTACGTCTAAGGCCATCACCAAGGACAAAAGTCCGACCTCAATTCGACACACCAGGTTAACATTTTCGACAATAACTCGAAACGGTACGACTAAGGTCGTCGCCAAATAAACAAACAACAAAAAACAAGCGGCAACAACATATTCAAAGGTACACAACAAAAATATCTATTCCATTACAGCCAACACATTACAAATCTTTTCTTTACAAAGGGCTCAAGGACGCCATCACAAAAATAGCAAAAACAAAAATAAATACAACCAAATCTTACGCCACATCACCCCCCGTGGCATATACCTCCTCGTACCAAGAATCGGAGGCGAGCTTGTCCACGTTGTCAGAATCAACATTGCCCTCACTAGGCGTGTCGGGGTCGTATCCATACGCCTCACGAGCTGCACGTGCCTTAATATGCACATCCTAAAGTTCTGCCTCAGATGCCCTCCCATCAGCATGAAGAGACTTATATATGTCAAGCTGAGCTTCGGCATGAACCCACAACTCGTATAAATCTCGACGCACGACAGGTTCGGCCAAAGCATGGGATGTAGAGAGTTGCGATTGTCGTCGCATGTCCTTAGCCTTCAAAGCGGCAACTTTTTCGTTTAACGCGGACAACTCCGCCTCCAGATCTCGGATACGTCCCTCAAATCTCGCTAACTTAAGCGCAGATGTCTCCACCTCCTTGTCCCGCTCTAATCTACAAATACGGAGGGCGTCTTCTAGAGTCGCTGCCTCAGAGACGGCAATCGCCCTATCCCTTTCGGCATGAGCCAACCCATCAACATTAGCACTCAGCTCATCTTTAAGGTTGACGACCTCTGCTGCCTTCTTGTCAAGCTTGGCAGTTAAATTGGCCACCTTCACCTGGAGGTCAGCATTCTCGACCATCACCCCCTTACTC